TTTTAATTAATTTTGGAAAAGGAAAAAAAATCAAAAAACTTTTGAAATTATGAACTCAACTACTGATACTTCGAAAATTGCTTCCTACCAGTAGGTTCTTGTTTGGTACGAAAAAAAAATAAAAGGGTTTCTATTTGTAGGAATTCATTCTATTCCCTAAAATATTTGAGACCCTCTCTTTCACTTTCGAAAAGCCCTAAGGAACCTCCCTAAACCTTCAAATCTCTATAATTTCACTTTGATTCTCTTCTTTATCTTGAATTTCAAATGGCTACTAGGAAAATTTTGTCCCAAACTGACAAAATATATGGGCCTACTCTACTAGCTTGGATTTCATTATTGCTATAGTTTCGATGATTGTAGCAAAGATGTGAAGAACAAGGGCAAGTCAAGGGATACCCCCGAACAAAGCCCCAGCAGCGGCTACTCCATTGAGGAGGGAGTCGACAAGAGAGAAGGGTAAAAGGAAGATGGTGGAATCGGCTTGTGAGGAGGAAGAGGATGTACCTCCTGTGCTCAAGAAGATCTCACCTTCAAACCCTCTGGATAAACTCCCATGGGTTGCAAGTTTTTTTATCTTGGCTCCTTTATGCCTCCATACATTCAATGGTGGTGGAAAGTATGACAGAAATGAGGGATACTCAGGTTAAGGCCACCACTTTTAAGGGGAAGGATATGGCTATGGGTAAGAGTTTTGAGAAGCCATTAGTTATTTCTAATTCTAAGGAGGAGAATGATGTTTTTGGGGAGGATGAAGACGAGGCTCAGGAATTGGAGGATGCTAATATTTTTAATTTGGAGTGACGAATTTAAGGATATACTTCTTTCCTTCAATATTTCTTTTAGTTTTCTAGTTTGTGTATAGGTGCTAGTAGAACCTTAGTAATTTTGTTTAGGGTAGTAGTAGCCATGTAGAAGAACCCAAAGGTAGAAGGCTACTATGATTTTGTTTTTCTGTACCCAAAAGCACATAGTGGCTATATATAGATGAAGTCTTTGGATTCCTTTTGTGTGCCATTTATTATTTATGTGACTGAGTATGCTTTGGAATTTATAGTATAATTTTAGGAAGTTTTGTTGTTTGTTTAATTCGTTTTATTAAGGGACTAGCAAAATCTAAGTTGGGGGGGTGTGATGAGAGCATAATATTGCATATTATATGCCTATAACCATTCATTTTAGTCATTCTACTCACTTAATTCATTTTTCTTAGTTGAGATTTGTATTTTATAGTAAATTTGTGCTTTTGCAATTTAATTGGTGTAAGAACATGGAATAGCACGTGTTTAAATGCCATAGAGAACTTGGAGGATGAGCTAAGGGGTCTAGGAGTGAAACCAAGGCAGTTGTGAGCATAATTGAAGAAAAGACCATTTCTACTGGTAGGTATTCTATCAGTACAATGAAGGCTAGAAGCAGGGCAACCATAGGAAGATAATAGTGAATAGTCCTACCAATAGGTTCCTGCAATTTCGGTAATTGAGACTCCTGGAAAGCCATCTTCTGAATATTTCAAGGGCCATGATTGATAGATAGAAAGTTGGATTTTTAGCACAAGACCTCCTACAAATACCCAAGTCTGGCAAGAGAGAAGGGGGTCCTAGTTCCATCGTTCAATTGATCATCTTTTCTTTTCTCTTTTCTTGGGGTTTTTTAAGATTTTCTTCTTCTTTTCTCCATTGTTTCATTTTGCAAGCTTTTGTTTAATTCAAGTTTTAATTTCTTGCAAAGCAATTACTTTGCTTTCTTTTGTGCAAACAATTTACATTCATTGTGATTTCAATACAAGATATTTACTTTTCTTCCAATTTCAATTCTCATCTTCTTGCTTTAATTTACAATGATACTTTATTTAAATGCTTCCAATTTCAATGATGTCATGAATCAGTAGTTGTTTACCAATTTGATCAGATGAAGTAGTCTCATTTGTGCATTGGGGGTTTTGACTCAAAACTATGGCTTGTCTACTATCAAGTTATTTGGGTCAATTCAATGGGTCAATTCGAAGATACTATTGAATTGTATACTTTCTTGCTTACCCGTCGACAATTAGGGCTTGGCACGGGTAATTCTTGTAATCACAACAATCGTAGTAAGTTACATTAACAAATTCAATTGTCTCGAATACAAATTTGTATTTATTAATTGGGTATCAAATGAATATATGCAGCTTGAGTGCCTTTGACCACAATCTCGAGTGAGTTATAAAGTTTGAGTCAAAATACCTATTCACGGTGAGGTGATCTCTATCGATCAACTGATTTTTTCTCTTACTTGTTATTTTCTTAATGTGATCAAGTTGTCAACCTAACTCTCAAAATTCAAAGTTTTCTTTTCTTTTAAGCATCACCTCTTGAGCCTTTTGTTTTCCTTGTAGAGACGACCTCGGTAATCGACCGAGTTACAAACTGATACCCCTACCTATGCTTGAGAATTCCTCAATAATTTATTCAACTCAAAGAAGCAAGCATCTATCTTAGTATAAGATCTACATCCTATGATATTGCTTGAGGATCTTAGTCTTGTACATCACCACTCAAACGAAAAACTTGAGAAAAGGATAATATGTTAAAGAATTAATTACAAAATCATAGGTATAGTAAACAAGAAGTTAAGCCTAGGGAATATTTATGTATACATCATGTAAGCACAAATATGTAGCATTTTAAGAATTAAATTGCACCCATAAGCCTAGGAACCTATTGATATATCAATGTCAATCACATCAAGTTCTCCCCCTTAGTTTGTCATCCAAAGTAAAATAACAAGTGTTAAATAGGTGATTTCATGCCAAGTTTGTAAATATACTCCCCCCTAAGTACTTGGAAAAACTTCCCCTTCCTCAATTCATATGCAACATATCTAGCCTAATCAAGAGTAAATCTCCCTAATTCCTCTCATAAGTACCTAAAATATACTTCCCCTTTTGTCACAAATGCCAAACCAGTGACAACATATGTCAGGCACGGTACATAATGAAGTTACCCAACATATTATTTTCTTATTTTCTATGAATTTAATGACAACATATAACAATCATTACATAGAACCATGGTATAAGAAGAAGGTATTAACAAAGACCAACTTAATAAACAGGACTTAGAGTATCGTCATAACAAACGAAAAATTATCTAAACAAGTAAAAGTAAAAACAAATGGAAAAGTCAACAAAAAAAATAGAGTACTTTAGTATATGCCATGAATGAATAATAAACACTCAAACTCTCATATGGCCTAAACTACAAATCTCTAAACCAGCTATAATGGCTGCATCAAACTCCACTAGCTCCACCATCTCCTTCCTATGTCTCAGGCTTATTTTTGTCAATAAAGCCTATATTTTGTAACATACACCTAAGGTGTCGAACCTACCTATGTATATCCCTCTAATCTCTGACAATACTACCCATCCCCTCGATAAGAGCATCTAGTTTGAGAGTAGTGAGACTATTTGGTTGATCTATACTACTCTGTAAGTGACCTAGTTTTGTGTGAAATGTAGCCCACTGATCAAATGTAGCTGCATGAAATGTTCTAAGGAGTATGGTACATGAGGTATGGGCTTGTGTCTGTCTCACTGGTGGTGCAGGACTCGATTGTCCAAGCTCAGAAGTGGTAGGGGCAGGTAGCTCAGTCTCCATCTCATCACCCTTTGCCTTAGCCTCCATGGAATAAAAGTGTAATGAATATGTCACTTTCTCTATCTAAAAGACTCTTTCCCGAGAGGTCTGTTAGGTCTCAGCAACTGGCCTATCTCTAAAGCTTCAACACTCTGGTCTAAACATACTTGAATGATAACAGACCTAAACGGCAGACTATTAATGATCCTCACCTCATCAAATGCTCTCTAAATCACTCTAAAGATCACTCGGGGAAAATCTATCTCTAAAATTGTACCAATGGCATGTAAAAGATAAATTTAGGGTATAGGAAATGTAGAGATGTGTGACTTCAGATCTATGTTGTATTTAGTTATCAAATTGGTGAATCGATAATTCCTTGTCAAGTCCTTTTGGTACCATAACTAGCGATTCCAACCACTAGGATGAGGGACTCTGTATAACATAGAAGCAACATCTGAGAATGTGGGTAAATCACTCTTTGGTCCAGAATGATAATCATCACGTATTACCCAAGGAAGATACAGGGTGGTAGCAATCAAGTTTGTGAAGAACTTGAATACCACACCTTAGAAATGTGTGATAAAGTGCTCACTACCCCTATAACTGGGGTTCCTTTGTCAACTCGTTGATCACCCATCAACACGTGAAAATACCTATGAATGCCACATAACTCGACACCACGACAAAACATCTTCTTCATCGGGATCACAACAACACAAAGTTTGGGTAGAGTCTCCCTTGTACCGGGCACTCCCAAATGCATAACCTATATACCATTTAATCACATGACCCATCCAAGGTCTAATATACTTCAATTTACTCTCATTTATTTTCCATTTATATCATTTGACAAAAGAACCCAAGACCCAAAGGCCTAGCAAAAGAATTTCAATATTTGAGATTCAAACAAAACCTATCGGTAGAAGATGTACAAGTTCTACCGGTAAAAAAAAAAGCTACTGGAAATGTTCTACCGCAGAAATGTGACATTATACCGGTAGGAATAGCCTATTGGAAAAGTTCTACTAGTAGAATAGCTCATCGTTCTACCGATAGGTCCTACCAGTTTTGCCCCGTTTCTATCCTTTTTCAATTTCAATCCATTCCAACCCCTTAAAACACCAACCCAAACTCATATAATATCCATTTTAAACAAAATATAGTTCATATGAGTTCTATTACAATCTTTTACATGACATTAAATGTCCAAAAACTAGATTACATCTTAGTTTAAAAAAAAACATAGTTTGAAAGCCACATTTCAGTTTTTCTTCAACAATGAGGGCTTGAATGAGAGTCATCCACCGGCGCATGTCCTGCACCTAAAATATTGCCCCCATAAAGGGTGAGTCACGCTCACTAGGGTATCTCTTAAAGAGACTACTCAAGAGGGGAAGAAGACTGTCAGAAAAAGAAATTTCCTAATCCTGAAGGTAACTCAGATGGAAAGAATCAATTACCAAAGGAAACAGCTCCTGATAAGAAAACAAAAGACAAAGGAAAGGGGAAACAGAATAAGCAATTAGAAATTCTAGGAGGCATTATTAATGGAGATATGAACATCTATGGTAAGCAATCCAAACCAGTAAGGCAATCAAATACGGGGAATCAACAGAAGGGGATTTGGGTTCAGCAAAGTCATGCGCAATCTTCTAAAGATCCTGCATTCAAATATGGGCAACTGACTAAGGTATATATTATGGAGGAGACTTCACTGCCTAATGCTTCTAATGTTGCATAGGGTCCCATGCAAACAGTTGGGTTTGAAAAAGGATCTTATTCAGGGAAAGACCAAAATGCCACCTTAACAAAAAAATAAGATGACATTTTTTAGATGTAAATTAGGAAGTGATTCCCATTGAACAAGATATGGTATCTGATCGTGGTGAAGATGGTGTAGAGATTCCCATTGAACAATGTCTAAAACCTTCAGAATCAACCTTCTTGATTGATCGTCAGTATGATTGTATAGAGGGCAATACAATTCCCTTGGATGATGATATATGACTACAGAGTATCAAAGAACCACCGGACAAGGGCTTTCACTCTGATGGGGACTTATCAGCAAGCTCAGACTGTTTTGAGATTGGTTTAGTTGCAGAAGTCAATTAGGACTGAAGAATGCAATCTAAAGGTCTTACTAAATTCGGTATAATTACTAGATCTAAATCTAGCAGAGTTTCTTTCTCTTAATCTTTAAATGATTAATATCATTTCCTGGAATGTGAGGGGGCCCAATAAAAAGGTCTCTAGAAGGAGTCTTAAGAAGCTAATCAAACTAAATGATGTTTGCTTAGTTTCTATTTTAGAACCAAAACTCATGCCATCTAGATTGCAGAGCTTATGTGGCAGTATAGGGTTTTCTTCTTTTCTAGCTAATCCTTTAGCTAAGAAATACATTTGGATTTTATGGGATCATCAAATGAAGGTGTCTATTTTAGCCATTCACGAGCAAGCTTTGACAGTGGAGGCTTCCTTTTTGGGTTCTGAGCCATTTTTACTCACTTTTGTGTACGCAAAGTGTGATCATAATTTGAGAAGACCCTTGTGGTCTCATTTGTCTGGCCTGGTTACTTCTTCCTCTCCTTGGTTGTTGCTAGTAGATTTTAACACCATTGTGTCCTCATCTAAAAGAAAAGAACCCCGTATGTGGCAGAGGATTGATAGAGTCCTCATGAATGTGGACTGGGGTGAGGTGAAGTATGATGTGAAAGGGAATTCTGATCACTGCCTTTTAATTGTAAAGTTTACTGATCATGTTGAGCAGAGAAGGATCTCTTTTTTCAAATTCCAAAATATGTGGACTGAGCACTCAAGCTTCTTGCAATTAGTGGAAAGTAACTATACAGGTAACTATGTGTCAAATCCCATTGAAATTTTTTTCCTTAAATTAAAATATCTAAAGTTGCATTTGAAGAGGTGGAATAAGGAATCTTTTGGGAATTTATTTGATAATATCTGAAAACTAGAAAGTAAATTGACTCAGGTAGAGCTGCAATTAGAGAGGCATTACTCAAAGACAAATAACTTAGTTTTAGAGACAGCCAAGAAAGAACAGGATGAGGCTTTAAGAATTGAGGAAATTTTTTGGAAGCAAAAGGCCAACATCAAATGGGCAATTGAAAGAGAGAGAAACACTTAACTCTTTCATGCAATTGCTAAGGGGAGAATGGCCAGGAACAAGATAAATAAAATCAAGAACTCAGTTGGGGTTTGGGTGAAGGATGTCGATGAAATTGCAAGATGTGCTTTAGGATTTTTCTCTAATCTCTATTCAACTAAAACTCATTAGCTAGATCTAGAATTATTCTCAGTCATTCCTAGTCTGGTTACTATGGAGGACAATATTATGCTTACCTCTTCTTTTACGCTAGAGGATCTAAAAGGAATTATTTTTGATATGTCAGTGGACAGTGCCCCAGGTTCGGATGGCTACTCAGGAAAATTTTTCCAAATAGCTTGGGACATTATCAAGTTAGACTTATTGGCTGCAGTTAATTTCTTCTTTCTTGGGGGATTTATTCCCATGTTAGTCAATGCAACCCTATTATCTCTCATTCCTAAAATAGGCAATCCAACTTCTTTTGCTGATTTTAGGCCAATCAGTCTGTGCAACTTCTTATATAAGGTATTTACCATAACCTTGGCTTCAAGATTGAGTGTTTTGCTCCCTAGATTGATTTCTTCTGAACAGCAAGGATTTTTCAAAGGTTGAAACACAAGTGACAGCATTGCATTGGCACAGTTTATGGTCAATGAACTAGACGAAAAGGTGGAAGTAAGAAATGTCATAGTCAAGCGGGACATAATGAAGGCCTTTGATAGAATTGAGTGAGATTTCCTAAGCCAAACTTTGATCAATTTTGAGTTTTCTGAGGCTTTTGTGTTGCGTATTTCTAATTGCCTTAATAATCAGTTTGCTTCTGTAGCAATTAATGGAGTGAGGCATGGTTTTTTTCCTAGTTCAAGAGGCCTCAGGCAAGGTGATCCATTGTCACCTAGCTTGTTTATTCTTGCTGAGGAGGTGTTAACTAGAAGGATTGCAAGTATTTTCCAATGAGGATTGATTAGGCCTTTCACATAGGGAAAGGTACTTTGGTGCTCACCCACTTGCTTTTTACAAACAACACACTTTTTTTCTTGAGAGGGAACAAGCAGTCTATGAGGAACCTCTTCAAGTTTATGGGGAAATATGAGGCATCATCAAGTCAAAAGGTTAACAATCAGAAAAGTTCTTTATTTTGTTCTTCCAAGATATCCATTGCAAGTAAGAACATGCTCTCTCAGGTGTCAAATATCCCTCTTAAGAGATGCCCTTTCACCTATCTTGGTTGGCCAATTATTAAAGGCAGAGTTAAGCTCATTTATTTTAAGGATCTTCTGCAAAAATTCCAATCCAAACTGGAGGGTTGGTATGCCAAGCTGCTCTCTAATATGGGTAGAGTGGTGCTAATCCAATCAGTCTTGAATTCAATTCCAATACACTTGTTAGCTTCTTTAAATCTACCAAAAGGGATTATTTCAAAGCTGAATTCTACAATGTCTTCTTTCCTATGGTCCAGTAAATCTAATGTCAAAAAGAGACACTGGTGCTCTTGGAGATCTATCACTATGCCAAAAGGAGGAAGGTGGTTTGGAGATAAGGAAATTTGAGGAGGTGCAACAAGCGTTTAGGATGAAGCAAGTGTGGAGTTTATTAAATGGTCAATCTCTTTGGTCTAAGTTCTTTACCAATAAATTCCTAAAAAATGAACACATTCTTAGGTGCTCAAGGTAGGGACATTCAAAGAGTTACGAGGAGCTGGCCTCCTACTATGAGGTGGTGGCGAATAACTCTCAGGTTCTAGTGGGATCAGGTTTTAAAGTTGACTTTTGGTGTGATAATTGGACAGGATTAGGCGCCTTGATCTTAAGGAATTCAACTGCTCCTACATATTTTCCAAAGTCATCTCAATTAATGGTTAATGGCCAGTGGGAGCTAGAGGGAGTGCAGAATCAGCTGGATGGGCATTTACTGCAAGAGGTCCTTTATTATAATGTTATTCTAAACACTCAAGAGGATAAAATTATATGGAAGCATTCTTCTTTGGGTGTCTTCTATATCAAATCAGCTTGGTACCTAGTCAGAACTGAAGGTCAAGTAAATGAATAGGCTTCTGCTATTTGGAAACAAGCCTCACCTCCAAGTGCAAAGTTGCTAGCATGGAAAATTCTAAAACATGCTCTACCTATCGGGTCTACATTTCAAAAAAGGGGAATAGATTTGGTTAGCAGGTGTTTTCTTTGACATAATGATGTTGAAATAGCTACTCATATTTTCATCTGATGCCTATATGCAAGATTTGTCTAGGGTAAAATTTCAGAATTATTTGGTTTCCAGCTAGTGGCAAATGAACATACTCTCACCAGATTTATGAGGAAAGTAAGGATCTTTAAACGGCCCTTTGTTAGTCACTCCCTTTTTAGAGGTATTTCTTTGCTAGTTTACTGGCAACTATGGAAAGAAAGATGCAGAAGAATGTTTAAGGGCCAGCACATGCATTACTTTTCTTTGTTCATGGTTAATAAACAATTATGGAGATTATAGGTACATCTCATTAAGCCTAAGGCGATGGATTCACCTCTGGGTCTGTCTTTTCTACAGTCACTTAATGTGTCTTCAAATAGTTCAATTAGAGTCCAGATTAATTAGAAGCTTCCACCTGAAGGTTTTCTTAAACTTAATATTGATGGAGCATCTAAGGACAATCCTGGTCCTTCTAGTGGAGGAGTCGTACTTCGAAATCACAATGGACAATTTGTTCTTGTTGGTTCTTTCTTTTATGAGATTTGCACTAATATAGAAGAAGAGATGAGGGCTCTGATGGATGGCCTACGATTACTCAAGGATTTTGGTTTGGAAGATTATGCTTTTCACATTGAAACAAATTCTCATGTCCTTGTGCATATCATTAAGAAGAGATCTAAGCCAGGAAACTCTGGTCTTTGTCTAGTCAAATCGTTTCCATCATTAGCAGGTTTGATTTTCAAATTCACCATACTTATCGCGAGGGGAATGCTATTGCAGATTCTTTGGCAAATAAGGGGGTTTCTAATAAAGACTCCTTCACTTATTCTTCTATGGATAATCTACCTACAACTCCTAAACTCTTATTGCTGTAAGATCTTCGACAAATCAAAGTTTTAAGAAAGAAAGTCTTCGTAGAGTAGACTCCTTAATTGGGTCTTTTATCTAGACTCCTATTATTTTGCTACAGCGGGATGGTCACTATTCACATCACTGTAGCTGTTCTTTAAGCTGCAGTCAATAGCCCAGCTGTTCTCATTTTTAGCGAGCATGGACTGCTGCTAGACATATCAATTTTTAAAAAAAAAAAAAAACAAAATTTTATTGAGTAAAAGTAGACTTTACAAGAATCAAAGAAATACAAGGATTAAGAAATTTAAAAGAAACAAATGAGCCATTCAATGGCTTTAATCCTTCAAGATTTTCAAACAAAAGGAATAGTACTTTCCCAGAAACTCCCTACCTCATCTGTTCTATCTATCCCAAGTCATCAAACACCAAAGAAGACTTTTTCCTCAAAACAGGAATGCATCGCTGATCTTGTAGCCACTTTGGCCACACAACATAAGGCAATTGATTGGAGATAGGGAACTCAGAGGATCTCCCATCCTCTACAGCCTTGTTCGCTAGTCCATCACCCACAAAATTGGCCTCACGGAACACATGCTTCAATT